AAGAGAATTAAAGGAGGAAATAGAATGCAATGCATTCATTTTATGAGACTTCAATACACCACTCACTCCAAAGGACAGATCCACCAGACAGAAAATAAGTAAGGACACAGAGGCACTGAACAACACACTAGAATAGATGAACCTAACAGACATCTACAGAACTCTACACCCAAAAGCAGCAGGATACACATTCTTCTTAAGTGCATATGGAACATTCTCCAGAATAGACCACATACTAGGCCACCAAAAGAGCCTCAGTAAATTCAAAAAGATTGAAATTCTACCTACCAATAACTTCTCAGACCACAAAGGTATAAAACTATAAATAAATTGTACAAAGAAAACAAAAAGGCTCACAAACACACATGGAGGCTTAACAACATGCTCCTAAATAATCAATGGATCAATGACCAAATTAAAACAGAGATCAAGCAATATATGGAGACAAATGACAACAACAGCACAAAGCCCCAACTTTTGTGGGACACAGTGAAGGCAGTTCTAAGAGGAAAGTATATACCAACCCAGGCCTGTTTAAAGAAGGAAGAACAATCCCAAATGAATAGTCTACATTCACAATCATTGAAACTGGAAAAAGAAAAACAAATGAAGCCCAAAGTCGGCAGAAGGAGGGACATAATAACGATCAGAGCATAAATAAATAAAATTGAGAAGAATGAAACAATAGAAAAAATAAACAAAACCAAGAGTTGGTTCTTTGAGAAAATGAACAAAAAATTAGATAAACCCCTAACCAGACTTATTTAGAGAAAAAGAGAACCCACACACATGAACAGATCAGAAATGAGAAAGGAAAAATCACTACAGACACCACAGAAATACAAAGAATTATGAGAGAATACTATGAAAATCTAAATGCTAACAAGCTGGATAAGCTAGAAGAGATGGACAACATTCTAGAAAAATACAACTTTCCAAGACTGACCAAGGAAGAAACAGAAAATCTGAACAGACCCATTACCAGAAACGAAATTGAATCAGTAATCAAAATAGTACCCAAGAACAAAACCCCTGGACCAGATGGATTCAACGCTGAATTTTACCAGACATACAGGGAAGACATAATACCCATTCTCCTTAAAGTTTTCCAAAAAGACAGAAGAGGAAGGAATACTTCCAAACTCAATCTATGAAGCCAGCATCACTCTAATACCAAAACCAGGCAAAGACCCCACCAAAAAAGAAAAGTACAGACCAATATCCCTGATGAACATAGATGCAAAAAATACTCAACAAAATATTAGCAAACCAAATTCAAAAATACATCAAGAGGATCATACACCGTGATCAAGTGGGATTAGTCTCAGGGATTCAAGGATGGTACAACATTTGAAAATCCGTCAATATCATCCACCACATCAACAAAAAGAAGGATAAAAACCACATGATTATCTCCATAGATGCTGAAAAAGCATTCAACAAAATTCAATATCCATTCATGATAAAAACTCTCAACAAAATGGGAATAGAGGGCAAGTACCTCAACATAATAAAGGCCATATATGACAAACCTACAGTCAACATCATACATAACAGCGAGAAGCTGAAAGCTTTTCACCTAAGATCGAGAACAAGACAGGGATGCCCACTCTCCCCACTTTTATTCAACATAGTACTGGAGTTCCTAGCCACAGCAACCAGACAAAACAAAGAAATAAAGGGCATCAAGATTGTTAAGGAAGAAGTCAACCTGTCACTATTTGCAGATGACATAATATTGTACATAAAAAGCCCTAAAGACTCTACTCCAAAACTACTAGAACAAGTATCTGAATTCAGCAAAGTAGCAGGATACAAAATTAATACACAGAAATCTGTTGATTTCCTACACACTAATGATGAACTAGCAGAAAGAGAAATCAGGAAAACAATTCCACTCACAATTGCATCAAAAATAATAAAATACCTAGGAAGTGAAAGACTTTTACCCTGAAAACTACAAGACACTCTTAAGATAAATTAAAGAGGACGCTAACAAATGGAAACTCATCCCATGCTCCTGGCTAGGAAGAATTAATATAATCAAAATGGCCATCCTGCCTAAAGCAATATACAGATTCAATGCAACCCTATCAAAATACCAACAGCATTCTTCCATGAACTGGAACAAATAATTCTACAATTCATAAGGAACCACAAAAGACCCCGAATAGCCAAAGCAATCCTGAGAAAGAAGAATAAAGCAGGGGGGATCTCGCTTCCCAACTTCAAGTTCAACTACACAGACATGGTAATCAAGACAATTTGGTACTGGCACAAGAACAGAGCCACAGACCAGTGGAACAGAATAGAGTCCAGATATTAACCCAAATATATATGGTCAATTAATATACAATAAAGAAGCCATGGATATACAATGGGGAAATGACAGCCTCTTCAATAGCTGGTGTTGGCAAAAGTGCATGGCTACATGTAAGAGAATGAAACTAGATCATTGTCTAACCCCATACACAAAAGTAAATTCGAAATGGATCAAAGACCTGAATGTAAGTCATGAAACCATAAAACTCTTAGAAAAAAATATAGGCAAAAATCTCTGGGACATAAACATGAGCAACTTCTTCATGAACATATCCTCCCGGGCAAGGGAAACAAAAGCAAAAATGAACATGTGGGACTATATCAAGCTGAAAAGCTTCTGTACAGCAAAGGACACCACCAACAGAACAAAAAGCCATCCTATAGTATGGGACAACACATTCATAAATGACAGATCCAATAAAGGGTTGATGTTCAAATTATATAAAGAGCTCACGCACCTCAGCAAACAAAAAGCAAATAATTAATTAAAAATGGGCAGAGGATCTGAACAGACACTTCTCCAAAGAAGAAATTCAGATGGCCAACAGGTACATGAAAAGATGCTCCATATCGCTAATCATCAGAGAAATGCAAATGAAAACCACAATGAGATATCACCTCACTCCAGTTAGGATGGCCACCATCCAAAAGACAAACAACAACAAATGTTGGTGAGGATGCAGAGAAAGGGGAACCCTCCTACACTGCTGGTGGGCATGTAAATTAGTTCAACCATTGTGGAAAGCAGTATGGAGGTTCCTCAAAAAACTCAAAATAGAAATACCATTTGACCCAGGAATTCCACTTCTAGGAATTTATCCTAAGAATGTAGGAGCCCAGTTTGAAAAAGACTATGTTTATTTCAGCAATATTCACAATAGCCAAGAAATGGAAGCAACCTAAGTGTCCATCAGTAGATAAATGGATAAAGAAGATGTGGTACATATACACAATGGAGTATTATTCAGCCATAAGAAGAAAGCAAATCCTACCATTTGCAGCAACATGGATTGAACTGGAGGGTATTATGCTCAGTGAAATAAGCCAGGCAGGGAAACACAAGTACCAAATGATTTCACTCATATGTGGAGTATAAGAACAAAGAAAAACTGAAGGAACAAAACAGCAGCAGACTCACAAAACCCAAGAATGGAGTAACAGTTACCAAAGGGAAAGGGACTGGAGAGGGTGGGTAGGAAGGGAGGGATAAGGGGAAAAGGGGCCATTACGATTAGCAGACATAACGTGGGGGTGCATACGGGGAGGGCTGTATAACACAGAGAAGACAAGTAGTGATTCTATAGCATCTTATTATGCTGATGGACAGTGACTGTAATGGGGTATGTCATGGGGACTTGATAATGGGGGGAGTCTAGTAACCATAATGTTGCTCATGTAATGTACATTAATGATACCATAAAAAAAAGAGGGAATGGATGGATGGATGGATGGATGGATAGTTACACAGATACATAGATATGATAGATAGTGGACAGACAGATAGATGGGCAGATAAATTTGCCTTTCACCAACCATCCCCCTGTAAAGGAAACAGCAATGTGTTTCCCACAGGCCAAGGTGTAAAAGCTACCCCTCTAGGCCTCCACTGAGTGCTGCAGCAACCTTGCCAGCACTAGGCAGGCTGCCTGCTGGGCTGCCCCTCTCACCACCACTGCGCACTCACGGCACACTGCCACCACACTTTTGCCGGCCTTTATCCTCCTACCCACTCTGTAGGCCCTAAATTGAGCTCCAGCCCACTCATGGAGAACAGCAATCTCTTTGCAAAGAGAATTCCCTTGTATTTGGACACAATCAAGTGACCAGGTAGGTTTTTCTCTCACACTCCTCCCTTTTCAGGGAAGCAAATGAGAAATACACACTCTTAACACAAACTTTAGCAGAGCACAAGGGCTGTGACAGGGTGAATCTGTCTCAGCCGTGGGAAGGGAGGTTTGCCTTGTAGATGTGCTAGCCGGGGCAGTGCCAGGCAGGGCAGCTTCCCAGGGACAGGGTCTGAGCCTGCTGCCCACCCTCTCCCCCTCTGCCCCGGCAGAAACCGAGGACTTGAAACCAGGGCCAGAGGCTGAGAAGGAGGAGAATTGGGCTTTGAAGTTGGACAGAAAGGCCCAGAATCCAAAGGGCCCTTGAGGGAAAAGGATGGAACAGGGAGCCACAAGGAAGGGACTCCTTTCTGCCTGGAGTGGCTGCCAGTGCACCTGATGGGAAGTACAAAAATCAGGAGAGAAAGAAGTGCTGGCATGATTGACATCTCTGCTGTGCCTGGAAGTGTAGTCATTTCAGTTTGAGTTCACTAGTAAAGGATTGTGCTATTCCCCTTTCCAAATGTTACAGGGAGGTGGTATTGGTTTGTAATCTAACTATTTTGTATGGTTTTCTTTTCCTTCCAAGTTCCACAGTATCAGCAGCACCCCAGAAAACTCAGGAGGGAGGCATTTTTCCCCCTTTTATAATGCTGCCCTCTACTGGACATCTGGAAACACACAGGCAAAGACTTCGCTTTTCTGGAAAGCTGTTTGGATTTTGATAGTGGTTGGGGTCCAATCGTTGGAAAAAAAAAACAAAAACTTTTTCTATTAAAAAGTAAACTTTAATTTACAATAATAAAGTAATTAAATAGTTTCTGTTTTTACAGTAATGGAAAAGCAGAGATAACTGTGAAATATTATGTACCCGTGTCACTGGTAAGTATGAAGTAATATGACCCTTTAGGGAAGTGAATTTGTGGATTGTAAGAAGTGTAATTTAAAAAAGGCATGGCCTTTGGCCCAATCCATCTTCTCTTGCAAATACAGATGACAGAAATAACTTTAAAAAGTTGACATTAAATTATGCTCATGAATGTCTGGGAGCAGGCTAATGGCTGCAGAGATGGTGATATATCAGGCAGACAGGAAGCAGATTTTTTTTTTGTAAGATCCTCTAGCAATTTGGAAAACATATATGGGATAGGGTGTGGTCTGGGCACTAGAATTTTGGAAAAGCCCTTCAAGTGATTCCCATACTTACATCCCTGATAGAAAACTCTGAATTAAAAAAAAGGGGGCGTGCTATGTGACATTATATTTCAACTTTAAGGCAATAAAACATCAGATTGTGTGGGGACAGGTAGAAGGAGGGGAGAAGGCCCTGTGTCTGGATGGGAAATGTGCTCCTTCTTGCAAGACACCTACCAAATTAGAATCATAGTTGAGGATGTCGAGACTGCAAGAACTATATAAATGATATGTGTATGGCCATTTAATATGATAGAATTTTTAAAAATGAGTTGAGTGGTGTTTTCTAGCTGTTAGTTTTGTCAAATACCAGTGTAGAAATTAGCCTTGCACAGCTGCAGAAACAAATGACTTTCCAGCTTGCACACATGTGGCTTGGATCCTCTTCCTAGAGCCAGAAAGTGACCTGAGCATCATTGGTTGACCCCTCCCCCAACCACCAAACCAGAGACAATCCAACAGCCTTGGACCATCTGCCAAGGGAGGCAAGCAGCTTGGTAAGAAGAGTCCTGCTCAGGGGGGATAAGCATCTCAAGGCCTGGTTTGGGCTTGCTGCTGACTCTCTGGGTGATCTCTGGTGAACCCCTTCACCTTTCCATCGATTACTATACAATGCAAAGCTAGAGTCCAAATTAATCACTTTCAGGGATCAGGTAACATCACTAAGTGAAATAAGCTTAGGAACAAGACAAAGGGGAATAGTGAGGCCTGTGGACAGTTGAGAGCTCATGCTTTTGTAAAGCGGGTAGCCAGTACTGGGTTCCTACACATTGCTCCATCAGGGTCACTGAAAACAGTTGAGCAGGTTATGCACTGCACAAGGGCACTACTTCAGGGGAGGTGTCATTCACATCACAGATGCAGGTATGTATCCATGACAGCTCCCTAGAAGATGTATGTAGAGGATTTTAAGGAAATGATACCTTCTAATTTGTACAAAGGTGCTGTATGGGCTGTCAGAGCCCTGGATACCATGTGAGAATGAGGCGCCAATGTTTTTAGATCTTTTTTTTCTGGAGAAATTGGAAATACAGCTTTTAATGTAAAATTCCCCCAATTTAAAAGAAGCTGGAAACTATGTCCAAAAAAAATTGACCCTGGGGGAGTTAAACAAAATATGCTCAGGGGTAGATTCAGGCTATAGGCTATGAGTGTAGGTCTCTGACCCAGATAAACTCTTAAGTTCTGACATCTCAGAAACCTTTCTATTTCTATGCACTTCATGTGTAGTCTTGAAGCAATCACAAAGAAAAGCTAATTACCCTGGTAAATTGTATGGATATAACAGGGATTGTGTGGTTACAATATGGATTATATGGATATAAAAAGTAAACGTACATCCTTTGAATGATGTTATGTACCACATTCTCCCTACCTATCATCCGGTTAACTTAATCCATCCTTTCATAATATAAAAGTTATATCTATGGAGAGAACCTCCTAAAACTTAAATGTGAATTACATTCTTCAGTTATACTTTCTTAAAACTTACTTTTCCTGAGTGAATTTATCATATTTACATCATAAGATATTCACTGGTTTCACTTGTGTGAATGTTTGCTTTCCACTGGTGGAGAGCATATCTTTCTTCACCAATGCACCCCCAGTGGGGATATTCCTGGTACCTAGAAGGCACCCAATACAGATTTATTGAATGGTGGATTAATCTAGATCCCAGCAAGGAAACATATTTTCTCCTTGGTATCCCTGACCTGACCTTGCTGCCTGGCATTTGACTTCCATGTTCCTGACCTTGTAGGATGTCTTGTTTTCAATGCTGATAAGGAGGCTCTCAGGCATGCCCTCATCCTATATATATATCCTGAGCCAGAGAAGAGACCGAGTTCAAGCCAGTGACTTTCAGGACAACCATGCTTGACTGTGGCTGAAACCAGCACCTGGATTGGAGTTGGAGAGCTCATGTTTCAGGTAACTCACACCGACACCTTCTCTGACAGTAGGTCCACTTCATCTTGGATACAGGGGGAGTAGAGTTTTCAGCACAGAATTAAATTCTGTTCCCTGTACATTTTTTATATTCCAATTTTATTTCATCCAGGTAACAAGATGATTATTATGCCAATGAATAGGCCAGTCCTCCTGCAGACTTACTGAAGAAATCTGGTAGCCTTCCAAAGCAAATTGTAATTTTTGATGTTAAATGAATTCACTAATAAGGATCATCCCAAGTCCACAAAACACCAGCAAAAGCAGCTGATTCCACAAAGTAGCTTAACACAGAATGAAGCTAATGATTGTCGGAGAAACTGCAGAAGGAGGAGGAAAACCAGACCACACAGGGGCAGCTTCTCAAGCAGTAAAAGAGAAGAAAGGTAGGAGCAGAGAAAGGAAGAGTTAAGAGGGAAGAGGCTGAGAAGTGGTCCGGAAGTGGACATTATCAGGGGGAGGACTCCGTCTGAAACTCCACCTCTGACTCTTTTAGCTTGTGTCCCGTGGTCACGTTTACCAGCTGCAGGCGCTGCTCCGTCTGACTGCAGATCGGCCACAGAGGCACACCTTCCCCATTAGGATTCCTGGAGGTGAGAGCAGAGACAGAGGTGTGATTTTCATCCTCAAATGCCAGCTGTGGGGGAGGCCAGGAGGTGCACTCACCCCGTCCGAGCGAAGTTGGCCCAGTATCTCATCATCTTCCTGTTCAGCAACTTCTCCTCCTCTGTGGCTGCTTCTGAAGAAGAGAATCACAACATCGGCCAGACGCCAAGTGTGCCTCACATTTGAGGAATCATTTTCATATCTCTCCTCCCGTTGGAGCCTTACCAGCCTGCCAAGTCATGTGCTCATTTTGCATTGCAGTTACCCAGGCTCAGAGAAACCATGACTTGCCTGAGGATTCATGGCTTCTGACTGGTGGAGGAGGCTGAACACACATCTTCCCTGTCCACCCAGTGCCCTTCCAGCTCTTCCCATGTGGCTGCAATTTCCTTGGCAACAGAGACCACCTCTCTCTCTCCCTCAAACAATTAAATAATGACTGCATTTCTTTGTTTGAAAAAGTAACACTTGGTCAAAGTACCACATCCCAAACACAGGAAGAGACACCTAATGAAAATGAATTTCCCTCCCATCTCTTCCCTCCAGATACCCAGTTACCAGCCCCAGAGGCAACCACTGTTACCAGCTTCTTCAGTGCGCTCCAGAGCCTGGCTAGGCACATACAAGAATTTAAGTGGACCTCCTTTTACATACTTGCTATAACAGGGACATTTTGTCTGCATCTTTCTCTTTTTACTAAAACTATATCTAGAAGATAGTTCCACACTGTCACCTATAAAACTTTCATTTATTGTTCTATAAATACATAATATACAAAGATGTACTTACATGCAATTATATATAAATATATAATTCATGTATTCAGCATTCTATTGATGGACCTTGGCAGTTTTTCCAATCTTTTGCTGATGAAAGCTATGCTTTAGTATGCATGTATATTGCTGCACATGTGGAAGTATAATTGCACACAAAAAATCCTAGAAGTTGAATTGCTAGGCTAAAGACTGTATGCATTTTAAATTTTGACAGTTTTCCATTATTATAAGAGGTTGTCTGTTTCCCCACACCTGTTCAAATACATTATGTAAAATGTAGTGTTCTTCCCAACCTTGATCGATGAGGACTGATTCTTCAGTCAAGATTAGTTGGCAGTCCTCTTGTTAGGAGTGAGGTTGAATGGATTTTCATGCTTAAAGTCCATTCATGTTTCCTTTCCCATATCTGTCTATTTATATCTGTTGCCCAGTTTTTGACTGAGTTGCTCTTTTCTCATTGATTTTAGTTGCTCTTTAAATATCAAGGAATTGAACCCTTTGTGCACATGTTGTTTATTTTTTTCCAGTTTGTAGAGTCCATGTGCCTATCACATAATATGGGTGCTGAATAATAATAATAGTGACATTTATTAAGTATTCACTGTCTGCTCTTTGAGAATCGGTTCATTCACCCTGATGACAACCTAGGAGGTAGTTCTGATATTATCTGTATTATGAGATGAGAATGAATACAAAAAATCATGAACCCACCACACTGCAAACATGTTGTATATAAGAGGCTCTGTCCTCACCATCAAGAGGCCAGCATAAACTGGTTAAAATCTTGTATTGTGCAATTTTTAAAACTAAACATTTTAGTAATAACTCCTGTGTGTAATTTCTATAATTTTTCTATTGATAACCTCACATGCATCATCATTTTAGGCACTGAACAGGTCGTCGATCAGGAATAAATGAGCTAACTTCACCAGTACCAGTACATAAGCATTTATTCTAGGTCACCTGGATCCAGACCACTTTTGGGCCAGAATTATGAAAAATGTGGTTCTTGCCTTTTAAAGCCCTGGGTGGCAGCCTCATAGGAGTTTGGGAAAGGGCAGGAAGGAGAGGCCAGTGGTCAGAGAGATGGAAGAAAGTGGTTCTAATTTCCAAAAATGTTAGATTGCCTGAGTGCCCCCTATGGGCTTTTGCACGAGAGAAAACACTTATCAATCAATGGTTGGCAGCTCTTCTTCACCTTGGTTTCTAAAACAAGGGTCGGGTATTTTCCAGGAAGGTGTGTCTGTGAACCATAGATTAAATCCAACCCACCAGTCCTTCCAGGCTCTTGCAAAGTGTGGGGGCAGGTGAGGGGCTTTGTGCTCAGTGGGGAGTTGTGTGGTCTCTCCAGATCATCCCAACCTGCTGTTTCTGCAAAAGCAGGAGCTCCTGAGGCCAGTGTCTTACCAAATATGACAATGTCACCCTTCAGGAAGGTGCCACCAAAGATGAAGCAGATATCATCAGAGTGATCAGCTTTGGTGAAAGATGGCTTCATGTCCTTCAAGCACTGGGGTTGGTGCCTAAACTCACAGAAATAGACCGGTGCACCAGCATGTGCCAAAAGGTAGGAAAGGGTGTTTGGCAGGCAGGCATGCAGAGTGGAGCAGGGGTTGGCCCTGTATCTCCACCCATCTCGTCCTGGATTCACGGATCCATGGGTGGACAGCTCAGAGACAAAGGGGAACCTGAGTAAAGCTACTGTCCTTTTTTGCATCTGAGGCTAGCCTTTGCTGCTACAGGGGCCTCACACCATGGTTACAAAAAGCTCACTCCTCCCAGGGCAGCTGGTGAGGACAATAGCTCTACTTCTCAAAAGAGCCCTAAATACAGAGCCAAGATCTATCTTCTTGTGACTTGCTCTCACTGAGTCTAGTTCAACTGTCCAGAGACAAACGGAACAAAGTTATTCTCTGCTTCCAAGATGCTCCATGCATCCTGCCCCCCTTCTCTTCCCTTCTGCAAAAGTTCTTTGCTCTATCATTTCCCTTTTCTCTGCATTATCAGATTTTCTCTACTGGATCACTGCCATCAATAGCAAACATGCTTACAAAGTCTCCCATTGTAACACACACACAAATACACATGTGCACACACATACATATGCATATGTATATGCATGTGTGCACACACACACGCACACACACACACGCACACACACACACACACACTATTGTACTTCTTCTTGGTCTCAGCTTCTCCGGTTATTGGAGGAGAAAGAAGAAAAGAAGATAGGGTTTCTGTCCCCACGAACAATATTTTCTCTCTGATCACTCCACTACTCCTTACAGCTAAGATGTTCGGGAAGATACTCTTAAAGAGAAAGGAATCGGGGAGACTGGCCCCAGAAAATTATGCAGAAGTGGGAATTTACTGCATAGACCCAAAGAAAGGGAAGAAACGGGAACACGAAGCACCGATCAACATTCTTGAACTCTGACAGGCAGGGGCGCCACGATGGTCAGCATGCAGGGTTCCATCCCAGACCCCCTAGGGAAGTCCCTGTCAGCGAGGGAACACGCGGGTGGGGCAGGCGGACGGATCACTGCAGCCACTGGCCTTGCTGGGCCCCGCTGCGGGTGCTCAGAGACTCACCTCTGTGATATCGAGCAGTGAGCAGCCCAGGGACCAGAAAGAACACGTCTCCAAGCAAGTCCAGAAAGCTACTGCATATTTCGACCAGGGAGTGCTTGTTGTAGAAATACTCATTTTCCACAAGGTTTAAATACTGGGCAGAGATGTGCTGTAAAAAATCATGGTCACAGGAGATCCAGGTCAACAGCAACAGCCAAGACATTAAGCATTTACTGGATGGACATGAATCTGAGTACTTCCCATGCATTTCTATTGAATCTACATGGTAACTATGCTGCAAGTACCAAAATTTGCCCCATTTCACAGATGAGGAAACAGGTTTAGGAAGGTTAAGTGGTTTGTCCAAAGTGGTAGAACCATGATACTTTCACAAGTCAAATTCTACCCCAATCCCATACTCCCAATCATAGTGTGCACACCTCTCTGAAATGTTTCAGAAACATCCCTGAGAAGAAACGGCTAAATCATTTGTGGGGCCCAGTGAAAAGTGAAAATGTGGGGCACCTTGTTCCAAAACTTAACAATTTTCAAGATGGTGACATTACATTCAACCAAGTGTAAGACCCTTCTAGGTGTGGTCCTTCGTGACCATGCAGGTCACACACCCTTGAGGCCAGCCCTGCTCCTGGGACCAGCACTGCTTCCCATCCTTTGCTGTTTGATCTAAGCTGGCTAGTCTCTTGCTGTTCCCCCATCTAGCGAAAAACTGGTTGTTCAGAGGCTTACCCAAGAGGCGAAGAGAAAAGCATGTTGCCTGGTACAGAGCAGGTCTTCGGTTCTGTCGGTCCCCTGACACCCTTGCCAAATCCCTTCCCAGGGCATCCCATGCCTTCTGGGACTGGGCACCAGGCTGCCTCCCCCTCTTCAATGCCTCGGCTTGCCTGAGCACAAATGCTGGAGGTGTGGGCGGTGGGGAAGGTGAACTTCACGAAGATTCAGGTTCTGCCAAATTGGTGATGTTCTTGGAGACCTGGGGGCCTGGAACTCTGGGACAACTCATTGCAACTCCAACTCGGACATTAATACAGGCACAGCCCTTTGTAGGTTCCTTTGGAATTAGGTTGTACTACCTGGACTCGTCCACTGGTCCTCTGAAGGCTGTTTTTCTAATCAGGCCCAGAGCAAGTCCAGGCTCCTGTGTGAATAACCCCACTTGGAGCACATGGCCAGCACACCCCCTCCGTGCCTGAGGTATCCGAGGTGGACACAGATGCTCTGTGGGGCCTCTGATGAGCCCCAACAGGACAGTCACAGCGCAGACCCCTGAGGCTCGGAGCAAGGCTCTGCTCTCCGCATCAGAGAACTGCTCTCATCTGAGAAGTCCCTCTCGTTATGCTACACAGGAGAAGCCGTACCCACTCCTGGCCCTCTGGCACCTCCCCACACAGCCCGCTTCGCACCCCTGGGTCCTGGCCTAAGGTATTCTCTCCTTTTGAAATGCTCTCCTGCTCAAGTGTTCCCCTTCCCTAAGGCCCAAGGCCAGTGACCTCCTCCCCCACAAGGCCATCTCCAATACAGCCGAGAGCGCCTACTGTCTGACGTCCATTTTAAATTCTCTCTCAAACCTTAGTCCCAATTCTCAGCACCAGACAGACAGCCAAGATTCATCAAAGAGCCCCTGCAAGCTTTGGGGCCTAAGGGATCCCCTGCCCCGCTCTGGCCCACTCTGCAGCCAGGGAGCTCTTCCTAAAATGGAAATTGAATCTGTCTTCTGTTCCCAGCCCCTGTGGTGAATTTTATGCTCCTTTCACAGAGTGTAACAGCCCTTGTGCTGAATGTGTCTTCACTCTGTGCCCCCGTCTGCAGACCTCCAGCATGGAGGCAGTGCCTGCTGATCACTGCTTCCCAGCGTCTAGGGCAGTGCTGGGGCACGTGGGCTCAGTAAACATTTGTCCAGTGAATACCTGAGAACCCGGCAGAGTACACACTGAATAAATGCTTATGGTGAGAAGAAAGGACAGAAGGAAAGGAATCCATCTCTACCCCCCGAGTGTCTAGAGTGAGACCTGATTCTGATACATTCATGCAGGCAGTGAATGAGCAAAGGATTGAGTAATAGTCCTCGGTATTGCTAGAACCTGGTACAGTGCCTGGCAGGCATGCTGTCAATACAGGGCTGCAGTCCTGGGTGTGTTTCACAATTTAGTACTTTTCAGACTGTAGATAATTCAGTACATATGCTGCCTATTACATAATATGCCCAGGGTGTGACTGCCCCAGCCCACATTAATGTGGCCTCAGAGAAACGTGAATGGGGGATAATCAACTGAATGAACGTGTGGGTACAGAAGGACCACTGGCCACGTGTCAGCTGGGGCAGGTTTGGCTGCCCTATGCATCACGGAAAGTCTCTGGGTTTTCGGAGCTCTTTGGATTGTGAGCTTGGGGATAGATCGCAGATCTCTACGTTGTAAAGACCTATTGAGTGACTGAATGAGAGCTATCCACACTGCAAGCCCCTACCCCCGAGTGTGACCCAGGGAGGAATGTTAAATGAATGGACCTCTGGAGAGTCACACCAGGACTGTGTGTATCAAGCGTAGGGTGAGGGACTTGCTGGAACCCCCGAGGATCTCAGGAAACTCATTCTGTGGATAGAAGGGCATCCCATGTGAGCACATCAGGTCATTAGAGGGGAAACTGGTCCCTCGGAGGGCCTAGGCACCTGCCTTATAAGGGGAGCTGGGAAGAGCAGGCCCCCTTTCAGTCCCCGTGGGCCACGTGTAGGAGCCCCCTGAGTGAGTTGGTCCAGCAATGAAGTTTCTTTTCACATTTGACGAAAGGCAGCCATTGTCTGTCATACCTGTGGCCTCACAGGGCCGGGTAGCTGCCCTGTGGAAAGGCCATGCGATTAGCTGAACTGTGCCTCCCGAATCCCTATGGTGAAGCCCTCACCCCCAGTGCCTCAGAATGGGGCTGCATGTGGAGACAGTGTTTTAAGTTAAAAGGAGGCCATTAGGTTGGGCCCTAATCCAATCTAACTGGTGTCCTTATGAGAAGTGGAAATTTCAGCAATGCAAAGAGATACCAGGGATGTGAGAGGAAAAACGGTGTGAGGACACAGGGAGAAGATCCACCACCTGGATCTTGGACTTCTGTCCCCCAGAGTGGTGAAAAAACACCTGTTGTTTAAGCCCCCCTGTCTGCGGTGTTTTGTTAAGGCAGCCCCAGCCAACTAGCAGGCTACAACCTGTCTTTAACACCAAGTTCAAAGAGAAACCAAAAAACTTAAAATAAGGGGTTTATTGTTCTCTTTCTAAAGACCTTTGCAATCAGGGCCTCTGAGAAGCCAGCGGTCAGCAGTCCTGGTGGCTAAGAACACCGGCTCTGCTTGGCACAGAGGAAGAACTATGGGCATTTATTTGTTACATGACCCTTCCCTGGCCAATATTACAGCTTAAAGACATGAGAGGGTAGAAATACTCTCCACTTGTCAAATGAATTTCCCTTGGACACTTCCTGCTGAAAATCTTAAGGTTAATTAATTACTAGGGTAAATATTTTAAAACACCTGTTCTGGAATCTGAGGGAATGTCCAGAGTCATTGGAATTACCTACAAGTATATTTTCTCTACTGAGAAGCCCTCTGTCTATTCAGGGGTGGGGGTTTGTTTTGGGGGGCTGTCCTGTGGTCTCCAGGGACCAGCAATGGGTGTAACAGTAAGGCCACATAGAACATCAGCAGTGACGCAGGCTCTGGGCTGCGTGGACCAGGCACTGATTCCCACTCAGCCGCTTGAATAATTCCAACATCTAACATTTACTGAGCACTTACTATCTGCCAGGTTATTTAAGGTGCATCTGTGAGGTTTGCTCTATTTCACAGATGAGCGAACAGAGGTTCAGAGAGGTCAGGCAGCTTACTTGAGGTCACACAGCAAGCAAACAGAAGTCCGCACTTAAAGGTAGAGCCTAAATGCACAAAAATTATACACTGCTGTCTCTTCAAAAGCTGGGAGACATAGGAAAGTCACACTTTAGCCTCTCTGAGCCCCAGCTTCTTTAGCTGCACAATAGGGATGACAATGCAGGGGGCAGGTTGTGGCACAGATGGTGTACACTTGGCCCATGGAGGCACTCGGGACCATCCCAGTGGTTGTGGTGGTGGCTGTCATCAGGACCCCCTGCTTCTTTCTAGCTCAGACTCAGATGGCACTGAAAGGCCTCACTTAAGGCCTCGTTTACAACACGAGGAGGAACAATCCCCACCCCCATACGCCCCAAAACACGGCTCTAGAGGTCACATTAATGGCAGGACAGGCCTTTCCCAGACCAGGGAACTCAGGGCTCTGGCTCTAGACAGCCACCAACAAGCCTTGCAACTTGAAAAACCTTTGTATTTCACCACCTCCTTTCCCCCAGCGTGGAGGAGGAGGCTGGCCTCTCTAGGTGAGCTGTGGCGGTATTATGAGTGTGAGCCCGCCCATCTCTCCTGAGGACAGACACAAGTTTATTTTGAATCCGGACAGTCTACTTAAGTGGCAGGGTGAGGAAACCACGGCTCCTTCTCAGCGTTCAGGCCCCAGTGCAGGTGGTCCCTCCTCAGAGAAGTCTTTCCCCACCACCCTTTCTCCTCCCTAGAGAAGCCTTCTCCACCCAGTTTATGGCCTTCAGAGCACTTAGCACCAGGGATGCATCTTCGCAGCCTTGCATTTCATCTGCCTCTCCCTCCTAGGATGTAAGCTTGCCGAAAGCTGGACCCCTGTGACTTGTTCACTGTTGAGTGCTTGGTATTTCTGAGTGTGGAGTCGATAGTAAACACTCAGTTCATACTTGGATGAATACAATGAATCAATAATTTTGCAACCTGCACAAGTTTAGAGAACATTCTTGGAAGTCAGAATGCCAGAACTGAGGCTGGTCATGAAAATGTAAAACCCTGAAGTTTTCCAAACCTACATCAATTTCATCTTTGAAGCAGCCTCTGTGCTTATCTGAAACAATTATTTGTTTTAAACAGAACTCAAATAGATCCCATCCTCTCTGGTTTTTTTGTTTTTTTTGTTTTTGTTTTTTTATGGAATAGCTTCTTCCTCTGTAAACCTGTATGAGGAACAGGGCAGAACTTGCTATGGCTGCCCCCAGTCCTCAGCTGCCCTCCTTCAGAGAGACGAAAGATTTGGTTGACAGGTTCCCTCAAAATGTCATCTGGAAATGCCCAGCTGTGCACACAAACAGCTGCCTCCCTGGTGAGGGAGCAACAGGAAAGCCAGCCGAATTCTTACCAAGGGCAGCAGGAAGCCACACTCGTGGTTACTGACTCCGATGATAGAAGGAATTGGCTTAAATGCTTTTTGACTCAGTATGTCTATAGGCTCATCAGGAAAGAAAAAAACCATCAAAACCACTGGAGTGAAAAACTTGGTTTTCTGAAATAAGGAAGAAAAGGAAAAAATGGTGGCTATTTCTGTTCATAAAATCTGCTATACCTGAGCCCCTGTGCAAGCTGAGCCAACCCACTCCAGCCGTGATCAAATGCATTAGGAAGGGAAATATAAGCCACTCTTGGCACATCTGAACACATCAGGGCTCCCTGGCCAGCCCTGCCACTTACTTGGGCAAAGGGACTCAACTTCTCACCCACTAAATGGGGATAATGATAGTATCTACCTAAGACAAACATTAGCCTAGCAGAGTGGCTCTCAAAGTGTGACTCTTGGACCAGTAGCATCAGCGTCATCTGGGGACTTGTTAGAAATGTGAATTCCCAGGCCCCACCCCAGGCCTACTGAATGTGAAACTCTGGGGGCACAGCCCAGCCAACTCATTTTAACAAGCCCTCCAGGTGATTCTGAGACATGTTCAAATCTGAGAACCACTGGCCAAATGCAATGGACGGAGCAGTGAGTGGAGGGGACGGCGTGAGCATCTTCTTCGGCCCTGTGCCTTGGATCTGACGGGATATTTCTCGGGTCACAGGAAGCATCACCCGGCTCTACCTGTGATTTTATTTCCAGTCTGTTTGGGAGTGGGGGTAGAAGGGAGTACACAAAAGAGCTTTCACACTACATGGGCTCAAGGACTTACCCATTTCCAGGACTTCAGCACAGCTCAGAACAGATCCTCAATGCCTGCCAAGAAACTACTTCACAACTGTTGGAATTTGACAGGTAAGGACCTCACTCTTCAAGGACTATCAGAAGCTCTCAAGTTTGGAAGGGACATAAAAGCTTATTCAAGCCAGTGAATCATCCAGTGACTGAAGTTTGTCAGGGGTCATCTAGGCTCTGCTTGCAGATTTCCAATGGTGGGTATCTCATTGCTTTCTAAAAGCCAGCCAGTCCTTACTCAGACAACGTAGTTTTTAAAAAGTCCTTGGTTGTACCAAGCCAAACTGGCTTCTTAACAGAACTTCCAACTCTGGATCTTGACTTTTGCTTCTGGGGGCACATGGAACAAGTGTAGCCCCTCCTCCTAGAGGGATGCCTTCGATGACTTAAAGATGACTTTTGTATTTTTCTGGATATTTTCCAGGCTAAGCAGAACCCACAGCCCATCCAGTTCCTTAAATTACCAATAAGGGATCTATATTCCACTTTGTTATTTTACAGCAATAACTATGAATCCCCAATGCTTATTTTTCCAAGTTCCAAATCAAGATAAAGAAGAGAGTGGTAGGATTTGTCTACCACTCCATTCAAAGCACAGCCTTGCCCCAAACTCTCCCATCCCTCTTCACCTGGTTGATGCTCAGCAACTCCTTGGAGGAGTTTGTCCTCAGGCACTGCAGCAGGGCCACAGAGTCCGATGCACTGCAACCACAGGTATTTGCAATCCTGCAACTATTTCCAGAGAGGGACCAGGTCGGAGCAAGGTACTGAAAGCCTCCAGGAAAATGAGAATTGAAGAGCCTTCAGTCCAGCCACAAACTGGTCCTTTATATATGAGGTGCAGCCTCTGCCCCTCCCCGCCCTCTGGTGCCGGTAATGGAACATACACAGTGAGAACAAGTTGACGCTGTGTCATCCTTACTCTCTTGCCTGAGGCTCCTTGTCATCTTCAGCAACCGCCGGGGCTGGGGAAGTGGTTTGTCGGTCTGTAGCCATGGAATGGAGTCAAGAGTCCTGGTCACAGAGAGACCAGTCCTATGATGTTGGCCCCATTGGCACCAGGCCCCACAGAGCCTAGAAGCCCAGCTCTGATGCTAAATGGAGACAGGAGCTCCAGGAGCAAGGAGCAAGCTCCGTAACTGTCAGTTGAGGAATGACTCCGAGTCAGTCTCAGTTTGTCAACTCTGCTCAAGCCTCACCGCTACCCCTAGCCTGGAATGCCCTAAACATCTTTTTTTTCTGTCTCTACACCAATTCCACCCATTCTTCAAAGCCCAAGGCCCACCTCTTCCAGGATGTCCTTTCAGATCATTGCAGCTCCTGGGAAACCCTTTCTCCTCTAATCTCCTGACCTTCTCATATTACAGAATGTCACCCCAGCATCCCCACCTTCTCTACTCAGCACTTTGCTAAGCCCCATCTTGTCTTGTCATTGTTCTACATGCATAGAACTTGCACCCTGAAAGTAGCAGTCCTTAACCATTGGGAGTCACACATGCTCTGAGAATCCAGTGAAAGATACGGACCTCCTCCCCGGGAAAATGTACAAACATGTAGAACTTGAAGATAATTGTAGGAGTTTAAGGGCTACCTGCCCAACTGTCCATGGATTCTAGGTTAAAAATCCCTGTCATAAAAAGGTCATAGCCTTCTCAAGTTAGCATATGCCTTCTCCACTTTCAAACCTCCAAGTTCTAACAGCGAACTGGAAACACAGTGAGCACTCAACATGTGTGTGGTGAATAAATGAACATATGCACAACCCGAGAGCAGCTTCACATAGCGCTTTTCCAAAATCAATATTCCCGCGTACTGAGGGTGTGTTTACAATATTCTAACTCCGTTTCTGCTTTGAATGTATGTTGTTATTCTCTACAAGACGTTTAAGAAAATGTACCACTAAAATGAATAATACCCAGGAGATGGATCCACAGTCCAGTGCTGAATTAATACTCATTGAGCAAATCAACTCATTTGTTAACTCGCCGATTCAGCAAACATTTTTGGTTGCCTGATACACCCCAGGCATTATGCTGGGATGTGAAGGAGAGAGAGAGCTTGGTTTTCAGGTCCTCACTGTCTGGTAGAGCAGTAAGACAAGAAGACAAGTAGCAAACCCCTGGGGCATATGCCTCACATACCCTCACAATCTCACGTCAGGTAATAGTAGTCAGGTGTTTCCCACTGAACTAGAAAAGACCTCAGAATCTTTCTTAATATAATGTTCTAGGTGGAGCAGAGGAGGTACAGGAGGAGAACTGTATATAATATGGGGGGCTGAGTTATATATCATAAACCAAGAATAATGAGTAAGATGAGCATGTCACATACATGCTCACGTGTGCACATACACACACGTGTGCACAGCAGCACTGCCTTGTGCACCACGAACCATTTCGTGTTCAGTCAGACTTCCCATGGAGCTAAAGGCTCACCATGGGCGAGCACCAGTTCTTTGGCCATTGGTGGTAGGGACAACCATGCCCATGGTCTTTTGACCCCGACCCCATTCTCTCCTGACCAAGTGGAGGAAGCTGGAGAGCCGTTAACAATGCACGTACATCCTCGTTCCTCTCGTCCTCAGGGGCCTTCAGGTAAGGGATGTCGGCCACCCCACTCTCCATGATGGCTCTGTGGAATAAGCCATTGGCCATGGGAGACAGAACCTGGTAAAAAAAAGTGGGAGACCCAGGGAAAGCTGTGCAGCAGGCTCCCCGCCCCACCACACACACCACCCATCCCTTCTTCAAAGAAATTTTCCAAGGAGCCTCCTTAAGAGCTCTATGCTTAGAGGAAAAATGCCCAGGTTTGGGGATTCAAGGACTAGCCATGGAGGTTTGGCCAAATTAATTAACTCCTCTGAGCCCCAGGTTCCTCATGAACTCTGAAGCCAAACATTCTGGCATAGGAGTGCTGGCTCCTTCACTCCCTAGCTAGGTAACCTAGGGCATGTTGCTCACTATTTCTAAGCATCAGTTGATTCCCCTGTAAGACTGGAGGAAACATTGAGCCCCTATCACGGAATCATTCTAAAGAGTAGGAGAAGTAATAGACATAAAAGGCTTTGCACAAAGCTCAAAGAGGAAGCATTCATGTGATGGTGGCTGTTACACATGTAAAGTTAAGTTAATGTGATTCAAGTTGTTTTGAAGATAAAAAATACCTTGTATATTGGTAGGTGCTACACAGCAGAAGCTCTCTTAACATATCTGCCTGTAACTGACTCCTATGATTAACATGTTAACTGACACCCAGGAAATGCTGACCTCTCAGAGCCAGTGGGCCATCTGCTTGCACCTCTGCACATTTCTATTGCCACCAACTCCTCACCGTGAGTCAGGTGCTTGCTTCCAAACTTGTTCGGTCAGTACACTTGATATTGTAACTACATAGTCCACGAAATATCATGGGAACCACGATAAAGGCAAGTAGCTAAAAAAAATAGTGCCATCAAATTAGGTGTAAACAAGATAAGAGTAAAATATGTGGGAGGAACAGAAAACTCTGTGAGCACACTGCATTCGCAGACTACTCTGCAGGCAGCTTTAGTATTGTGCTTGCTGCAAAGAAGCTGACACCGCAATTTGAGGGCAATGAATTCTGCGGGTGGCTTATGCCAGAGAGCTCACTTTGGACCTCCAATCGGCAGACCAACTTTGAAACGATAAGGGACCATGTCAAACCATTGCTGAAAAAATGTATGTTTTATGTTTGAAGTTAAAATGTTTTATGCGTCCTTCATTATTTTACAATTTAGCTGAGTTTTTCTATTACATAAATAATTGCCAGTCCTGGTACTTAGATACCAGGGCTTCAACTCTAAAAATATAAGGGATTTTTCCTCAAACTATCACTCAGTGTTGTAAACTTGGGCAATTCGTTTAAACTCTCCTGTTGACAGCTCTCGTCCACAAAATGAGACTGAGTCCCTAACTCATGATGTGAAGCTTGAGTGAGGCAACATGTATAGAAGCGTTTGTCCCACAGGAAAGCATAGATCAGGTGTGGGCAATTCTTCGTCCTCATTTCTGTAACCTGCCCCTGCCCACAGGTTCAGTCACGTCCCAGAGAGGAGAACTTACAAGGCTGGAAACACTTATGGCTCCCGCTGACTCACCAAAGATGGTCACTGAGTGGGGGTCCCCACCAAAGAACTCGATGTTCTCCTGAGACCGGGTGAGAGTGGCCATCTGGTCCACGAAGGCCCAGTTCCCTGGAGCATGCTGGTCCCCTGTGCTGGGGGCAGGGGGGAGGAAGCAGGGTGAGAATGCTGTGGGTCGGCCACAGCCGGAGAAGGTTGCTGTGGAGGCTGTGGGTGGGTCTCAGGCCATGGCTCCTCCCACTGGGGAGGGGCTAAGAGTAGGAGGCCTGGAACAGCTGGGAAAAAATGGGCTTGATTCTTGATGGGATTTAGGTTTCTTTGAGAATCTGATGAGAACTACACATCCCTGAAAAATGCACAGACAACCTTGTTTGTGCAATTTTAGGGAATTCGTAAGCTCCCCTGAATCCATGGATTCCAGAAGAGTCCTGCCCCTGAGAGTTGGTCTGCACCAAGGCCTCCCAGGGCACAGAGGTTATGCTGAATGACTTAATGAATAATGAGAAGAATAAGAGCAGCAGCCATAGCACTGTGCATGACACGGTCCTGGGGCTGTCCGGCCAGTGTTCCTACAGTCCCCCCACCCTGTGAGGGAGGCAGTGCTGGTTTTTCTCCTTTGCCTCTGTGGGTCCTCTCTCCACCCTTTTCCACCCTCATCCCAAAAGGCTGACCTCAATGAAGTGCACCACCCAGGCATCTGGCTTCATGCAGTCAGTGGGAGGCAGCAGCTGGGGCTTGAGGGCGGGCTATCAAGAGGCTGGGAAATCTGTTCCACCACCCACGTCCCCTCTCTGCTGGGAAGTGGTTTGGGCAGTGGCTGCCTTTCTCCACAGCCACAGCTCACACCACGTCCCTTCAGTGAAATCTGGGAGCATGGCCTAAGTATACTGTTGGGTACATGGTCTCCTTACAGGCAGGAAAAGGATGCACAGAGGGGTAAATCCCTTGCCCAAGAGCTAGAAAGTTGCAGATTTGGGATTCAAACCCAAACAGGCCCCAGAGTCCACGCTCCTAACCACGTGCCCTTGCTGCCACCCTAAAGAACAGCATATTTCCCAGGATGGGTAATTAAGGGGAAACAAGGGAAAATATAGAACCAGATAAATGCCTACAGCAAACATCCATGAGGTACACACCACGTACGTGAATAATCCTGGGATCACAGTCTGCTCCCCATCCTTTCTCCAGCTCCCACACTGCTCTGCCCTCGGTTCCCTCTGTCTGTGACCCCTGGGCTGGCTCCTATGCCTTCTCTCCCTCATGACCCCCACATCCGATCAGGAACCATGCCCTGCCAAGTTTACCTCCATCCCACTGCAGCTCCCACACTGGTCCCCACTCCTCCTATTTGTCCTGACTCATAACCTGGCCACTTATGACCTGGGTGATCTTGAGCAAGTCACGTAACCTGCTTCCCCTCAAGGTTCTCATGTCTAAAATGGGGCTAATAATGGTGCCTGCTTGGCATGGTTGTTGTGAAGACTGATGATGTAGGTGTGCAATAAGTGCTATGTACATGCTGGAGATCGTTCTAGTTATTCAGCCACCACTCTGTTTCACCTGCACGGCCTGCATCAAGACTGCAGCAGCCTTCCAACCAGATGCCACATCTGCAGCCCGGGCACCCCTAGCCCAGCCTCCTCTCTGCCCTGGAGTGACGTCCCTGCACTACTGCTCTGAGCAGAGCACACCTGGGCCCTCAGTCTTTATTGGATAAAGGCCAGCCTCTGTGCATGGCCTGGCACTCAAGGCCTTTCCCAGTCAGACCTGTCCCTGCTGTATGCTCCACATCCATCTCCTGCTGTATCCTCACCTACCTGCCCACTAGAGCCTAGCTATTATGAGCGGTTTGTGGAAATCTTTCTGTCAAAGGAAGCTTATGTAGAATTCCAATGAACAGGGCAACTAGAAGTGTAAGGGCCCTGGTCAGCCCTCCTTGCCTGCACTGTGGCCCCACGGCTCATTCAGGGCATCCCACAGCAGAGCTTGCCAGTATTGTTCCAGGCCCCCGTGCTTCCCAGCCTCTGCTCAGGCAGCACCCCCTGCCAAGTATGCTCTCCCAAACCCTCCGCCCAAACCCAGCCTGTCTTTAAGGTGCAATTCTAACGCTGCCTCTCTGTGAAGCCTCCCTGACTTCTTGCAGCCCACTCCTCTTGTGCAGCCCCACGGCCTAGCACTCTGAGAGCAATAATCATGCCCCATCTCGTTGCATGGGTATTTGTATCCCTGCGTCATCGCCCCCACGACTCTGAGGGCCTCTTGAGGGTAGGATTCGTTGCTGCCTTCCTCACAGTATCTGGCGGTGACCTCTCACTACTTACTCCCCTTGGTGCACACGGTACGCAGCCCAGGGCTTGAGTTCTGCCATGCTCGAAGTAGGACAGTAGAAGTGGTCAAGCCCTGCTCTGTGAGCCTGAGAGGTTGCTTCACCTCTCTGTGTCTCCAAATTTCTACTGCAAAGTGACAATAACACTAGCATGTTTCTCCTAGGATTATTTTGGGGGTGAGTTGAAATAAGACATGGCAAGCACACAGCACCCCGCCTGACTCACAGTGAGCACCCAAGACATGTTGGATGTTATTGGGGGTAAGGAAACCAGTGCAGGGGAGGGATCGTTCTTGGGTGAGCATTTGAGGGGATTTGACATGGGGCCCTGTGGCAGAGGCCTACCTGCTCACACACCCCGTTTCCTCACCTTCCAGGACACACAGCTGGGCTACATTTCTCCTCTTTCCTTGCAACCGGGGGGTGGGGGGGTGGGTTTGGGGGGGGTTGGCCACGTGACAGTTCTGCCAATGCAGGTGAGCAGAAGCAGAAGATAAGCACCACCTCCAGGCTGACCCAGAAAGAGCTCCCATGCCAGATCCTCACGCTTTTCTTCCATCTGCTGGCCAGACGCGGAGGGTCTGAGGCCATAGAGGAGGGCAGGGCTTCCAGATGGAAGGAGCCTGGCCCCCCTGACTGACCATGTGGGAAGATGTCTGTCGGTCAGCAACTCTTAAATGCACTTTACTTGAATGGGAAACATATGTGTATTGTTTTAAGCCACTAAGATTTGGAGGCTTAACTGTTTTACCTGCCACAATTACCTACCTAATTCAGGGCCCCTTTGCCCATGGTCGTTCCTCCTTAGGCTGCTGGGCACTGAATCCCCTGTGACTGTAGCACAGCTGTGCCTTGGGGATGAGGGGCGTCACTCACTCACTTGAAGAAGCCGAATATTCTGAGCCGGTACTGGATAGACACAACCAGCACGTCTTCACAGGCAGCCAGGGCGGATCCATTGAAGATGGAGGCTGAGCCAGTCTCAAAGGCGCCCCCAGGGAGCCACAGCATGACCTAAGGAGGGGAGAGGAACTCTCCAGGCAGCAGACCAGGCACCCGTATCTGCTCCCCATGCATTTTGGGACTTCCTTCTTTAGGGAAATATAAATGTTCCACTTTCCTTTCTAAATAGTATCAGAGAGTTTACCTTTGAAGAAGGCCCATGGGTAAGCACATGGGATCAGAGTGCCTGGGTTTGATTCTCAGCCCTGCCACTGACTAGCTGTGTGACCCTGGGCAGGTTACTTAACCTCTCTGAGACTTGTTTTTCCCATCTATAATATGTGAAAAATGAAAGTATCTCACTTATGACTTAATCATGAAGTTTAAACAAGATGCTGCATCTAAAGTTCATAGGACAGTGTTGTCACAATTCAAGTGCTCAGAAAGTTAATTAAGTATCACTGAACTTGTGCCCCACAGAAAGATGGAAATCACTGTAAGCCATGTATGAAAGCAAAAGCCACTTACGGTATTTTAATTTAAGGCTTTTCCCTACTGACAGAGAGGAGAGAAAAAAGGGAAGAGAAATGTGGAAACTTTACTATATTAATTAGAAAAATTGGGCCTAGGGAACATAAAATATTTAAATTGTATTATCATAAATGATACACTTAATAATAAATCTCTTTCACTGTCTTTTTTAGGGTCATATTAGAAACTACAACTCTTATGGCAGAAAAAGAGAAGAAAGTCACAAAGGAAAAAGGAGAACCAGAATTGGCTTTGGCCCCAGGATCTGCCACATACTGTGTGTACAACATGGAACAAGTCAGTCATGCCCTCCCTGTGCCTCATCTTTCTCAGCTCTAGGATGGGTCCAATAATCCTGACCCACTGGATATGGTGGTGGTTAGCTGAGATAATGCACTGTGCCTGGCACATAGCCAGGGTTCGATATATGTTGCTGTCTTGATGCAATTCAGTGAAAATCTCTTTGCAGGGGCCTGAGGACAGAGGATGACGGAAGGGGGTGGTTAAAAATTAGATGGTAGATGTTCCTTTTCTACCCACTTTTCCACCCATATTTTACATTCTTAAATGAAATACTTAACATTATTACCTGACTGTCTTCAAGGCAAACAGAAAAATTGGAGGATGCAATTATCCTCTTAAAAAGGATTTCCCAAACACACAAAAAATGAAGTCCTTTTAAGCAGTGTCTTTTCTAAATGTTTACAGATCATTAAATACTCAACAGAGGGAAAAAAACAAAATAAAAAGCAAAGGTCAAGTCAGCGTAATAAAGAAGCAATCAGAGAAGAAGATAAAGTAAATTTGTCATTAAATGACTCTTTGAGAAAGTTACTGATGTGTCAAGGGATTCCATTTCCCTTTTGCCCACCACAGGGCTTGTTCTAAGTCCTGACACCCAGCCTCTGTGCCTGGATCTCAGGGCAAGAAGCTGGAGCTCCCAGCATGGCAGGTGCACTTACAGGCAGCTTGGAGCCAGTGTCTGCGTGGGCTGGTGCGTAGAGGTTGAGGTACAGGCAGTCTTCTGATGCTCCGGATTTGGGGAAATACACTCTGAGAATGTGTTGATCTTAGACCAGCCACTCTGTGTTCTGGAAGCAGCTTAGAAAAGGGGAGGAGAAACCCCCAGAGTTGCTGTCAGAAAATTTGCCTGGGAGGGACCAGTTCTTGTGACAGCAGGGAGGCCTGGCGGTCTCATGTGCCTGAACAGAAGAGGCATACGAGAGCTATCCTCCCCCTCTGGTGGCATAAACAAATAAACTATAATTCTCTTTGACCTGGGTCCTAGGTAGAAAAGCACGTTGTGCCAAACAATTGTACTGTTAACCCTCAGCACCCACACATGCTTACACCCATCACCATAATTCAGATGCCCACATAAAGACTCAGGTGGGCACAACAATTCCCCAAACCGTAGAAGGCAGGACACCGCTTGCATAGCAAGGGCTTTGCTCTGACAGCTCCTTCTTCTGCCCCCAGAGGCACAAAAGGACACTTCCACCAGGAACCAAAGGAGGTAGACACGCTGAAAGGTTCCTGCATCTGGGCCTTTGCTCAAGGTGATCGGAACTGCCCAGACTGCTCTCTCACTATGGCTGCTTACTCACGTCCTCCCCTTTATTTCAGACTCAGTCCCAGTCCCACCTCCTCCAAGAAGCCTTCTGAGGTTTTCCCAGTTAGGTCATAGCTCTTCTTTAGAAATATTTTGTGTTCTTTCCTAGAAGTTCTCCCAGGCTTATACACACGTGTTACTATCTTCCCCAACTCAAGCATAAGCAGCTAAAAGTCTAGGACTCTGTATTATCCATCTTGGTGCCTTATCTCCCCTAGCACCAAATCGGATACACAGTGAAACTGAGATTGTAAATATATGTGAATATTTCTACTATACTAAGTGCTCAATTATGTCAGTTGTTTTGTGTTTTTTTTTTAACAGAATAGTGTACAGATTGGGCAGTGGGAAGCCATCACTGCAAATTTACTCCCTGACAAGTGTTTTGACTTTCTGTTCTTTGTATGTTGTTTATCAGAAATCAAGGCCTCACTGGTTGAAATAAAACCATCTCTGACCTCCCCTTGAGGCTAAGCTAGGTGGTTCTCAGTGCTTCCTCAGCACCTTGCTCTGATGCCCTTTGGTTGCCCTTGTCATTCTATATTTTAATTGTCATTATTGTTTATGCCCCCACTTGCACTACTAGTCTCCAGGCTCCTTAAGGGCAGCTGTGACTAACCCAGGGTCTCATGCTGAGCCAATTATTGAATTGGTTCTCAAGGGATATTAGCTGAAGAAATGAATGAATGAATGAACAGATGAGTTTCAGCTTAGTGTCAGTCCTTGGGCCACATGGGGTCTTCTCTAGCTTACAGAGCATCCTGGCAGCAAGGTACTCCTTCTGCTGGGACCCCAGTGCCAGGAACCTGTGTGGCCCAACCTGAGGGTTTCACAGAATCTTAGTGGCAGAAGATTCTTGGGGATTTCCAGGTGTCATCTCCCACCCAGTGCTCCAGAACCCTCGAGAATTCACCCATCTCATATTAAAAGTTTGCAGTGACTGAGAGCTCCTTACTCCCCGGCTTCCCTATATCACAGAGACACACTCCCGTATTCATTCCACAGGTATTTATGGACTTCCCACTGTGGACCAGGCCCTGTACTGGGCACAGCGTGCATTGCTAGAGTTAAAATCCCTCTAGCGTGGTTCTTTGCTCTAAAGCTCTTACCCAATCTGACCATGGAGACTAAGCCTTGGTGATAGATCACACAGAAACACTTGGCCAGTCCCTGCTAACCAAAAGTCTTAGTAAGCCCATTACAGTGGTTCCCAAATAACTGGTCCCCAGAATTCCTAGAGAGCCTTCAGATAATCCAGTTTCCTGGGCCCAGCTCTGGAGATTTCAATTCCAGAAGTTCAGAAGGGAATGCGGGAATCTGCATGTTCTGAACAAAGCATCCAGCCATTCTGATGATCAGCCAGTTAGGGAGCCATGCGATTACTGATGCCTTTGTCCACTTCTGTATCCTTCCTCCTCCCCCTGATGCCCTCCCCCTTCCTACTGGGCTGCATGACCCTTACTCCCCCTCAATGCTCTGTCCCCACTCCCAGGTTGCAGGCCACCCACGTGACCAAACCTGCTCTTACAATTTAGGGTAGGATGTTGCATCTCGGAAGTCCTTCCAGGGCAATGCGGCTTAGGTTTTGCAAATCGCAGGGGTCCTACTGAGGGTGCAGCATAGGGAACCCCAAGAAACACATTCACAGGCACGGAGCTTCCCAGCACAGTGGCTTGCTTCCCCTGGACCCATCCCAGCCTGGTGCTCCTCACTGGTGCACCAGCAGCTGGCCCCGAGGGAACACACAGGGAGGAATCAGGAGCTGGCAAGGAAAAGGCTAGGAGTAAGCCCGACACAAGCTCCCCTCGGTGGGATGCTGTTTCTCAGCCAGAGGCTGTAGGACAGCTGATTCCTTCTCAGTGAACCCACGCCCACTGCTTCCTTCAAGACTGCTTAGAATCCACCTGCATTGGGGCACTGACTGAGTTCCTCCTAGGAGCACAGCACCAAGCCCCAAAAGTCTGGGAACAAGCAACATTTCCTGCCTGCTGCATGGAAGATCTCCCGGACTGTGCGAAGTGAGGTATGCCAGGCCCTGGAGGCCCGGGATCTGGCCCAGAGTTTCCCACACTTTGTCCATTTTCATACCCACCAGCAAGCACAATGGCTGGTGTGTCTGTGCTCCTCCCTGTATGACTACTGGCTTTTCCACTTCTCTTAAAATTTATAAACTTAAAATCTTACCTAGAGGAATCTAAAGCAATAATATCTATGGGATTGTGCTTTGGATGAGTTAGGTATATGCTGTTGAAGGCACATGAAAATAAATATTCAGCAATGAAAATTAAAAACCCTCATGCAGATGCCACCTGAAATCAGTTCATCCACCTCCAGGGGTATGAGGTGGCATTTTGGGAGACCGACAGTGCGCTTCTTGGTTCCCATATAGAATACAGAGCCTTGAGGAGTTAGCTGCCTGGCTATTTATTTGGCAGGACCAGGTGTTCCAATGTCATTCCAACAGTGACACCCTGCCTGGGCAGCTAGCCTTACAGAATCACGGGCTCTGTCCCACGCCCTTCCCCAGTGCTCAGGACAGAGGGCTGTCTGCGCCTATAGGGTACGAGCAGCCCAAGGGCAGCACTGGGGGCTTCCGTGTTCTACCCATGCCTTTCAGTAACACCAGGACGTTGCTCAGCTGCGCTGAGGTTACTACACAGCCGTCCATGGACCCTCAGAGACCTCTGAGAAGTCAGTTTGTTTCCACCAGTGGAAAATCATCCATGGTAGGAAACTCCTCCTACCCTGTCTTCTGAAAGCCCTCCTCTCCCCTGGATGTCTTACCCTTGGCTGCGGCTGCAAGGATCCAAACAGCCCAGATCAGGGTCTGGATGAGGCGCCCCCACTCCCCACTCATCTGTCTGGCCCGCCTGAGCTCCCTGGATATCCACGACCAAGCTGGCCTCAGAGAGCTTCTAGGATCAAAAGGGCTTCCTGTTCACAGACAAATGTTGAGTAGGCAGACACAGAACATGGGGTTGGCGGAGAACAACATCCAACCAAGATTTTCAGAGCAATTGGCCAAGCAAGACTTCCCTGTTCTGACATATGTAAGAAGCTGATGATTAACTCTTAAGCTGAGAAAAGACAGTTTGATAGGCTTTGGGCTCACAGGATGGTAGAAGTATAATGGGATCAGGTAAGCCAGAGACCTCAATTCATTTGCCTGCAGGGGCCAGAAAGGCAGCAAACAAGCAGTGAAGGAAGCTGGCCAGGTGAGAGCAACAGGGAATGGTGGGGACCGTGGAAAACTGGACAACAAGCACATACTCTGTCTAAAGGGTCAATGACTTCTCAACTCCAGTGAACATTTCACTTATGAAAATGTAGGTGCACCAAACCAGAAATCTATGATATCTCTCAATTTTTAAATTGTGGCCTCAAGTTTTAAAAATCATGATGTGAGCCCAATGCAGCATTTCTACTGGCTTGAGTTGTGCCATGGGTGAAGCCTCTTCAATTCTCATCTTGACCCAGGTCCTGCAGTGTGAATACATGGAGACAAGCCCAGGGAGGTGAAGGTACTGCAAGCCGTCCTGTTGTACCCTATCCGCAGCACTCCAGGTTCTCGGTGCAGGGCTGGTGTGTCACGCATCATCTGGCGCAGGCTCCATGCTTTGCTTAGGGTAAAAGGCCCAGGAAGGGACTTCCCACATGCTTGGGGCTGGGCTGGTGGAGTCAGAATTACTTGGGGGCACTTGTTGAAAATGTGTCCTTCTGCCCCAACCCCTGGAGATGTGGAGTCGGGACTTTAACAACATCAGCAGTAGGTCCGGGAATCATCAATCAAATGCATGCAAGGTTTCCCAGAATAATCACCTCCTGAGGGAGGCAGGCAAGCCACAAACAGACATTATGTGCCTGCTGGATACAGAAATCTGCACAATAAGCAGGGAAGGCCTTCCTCAAGCTCAGAGCAAGGGGCTGCATGATGCACTTTGTTCAAGGTATGTGCTCCACAAACCTTTGCAGATTTGAAGTTGTCCAGTAAATAATATCTTTCTCCTCAACTCCAATTCCATTTCTGATATGCCATTGACAGTGCCAGGAATTAAAGAAAGATAATTTCAAGGGAACCTGATGCAAGGGCTTGATTTCAATTCAGCAAAAATCACATATGGCTCAAATAAACCTTGAAAATCGGTCCCACTACCCCTGAAATCCAGTGAACAACTGTGGGCAGCAGTGCCTATGCATGATGGTTGGGAATGAGGGACTGAGGGTAAGGAAGAAGAGACTGCTTATATCTGAAGCCCAGATGTTAAAACTGCCCACATTTGAGGTGAATGTGGGATGAGGTGGGAATTTCTAAAATGTTTCCAGCTTGCCTGCAGGGTTTACTGGTTTAAATTTAGCATTAAGCATACAAATGTCCTAATGCATGTTCATAGACATGTTTATTGTTGATAGGTTCAAAGATTTCTAGCTTTGTAGGCATGAATGCATTTAGCTTATATCCAGGCCATACAGTGGGCAGTACAGTAGTATGTATACTAAATTGGAATCTAGACCCTTACATTGTTCTTGAAAAAGCTGTCAAGAAGAATACAACTTGTTTTCCTGCCCTACCGAGTGGGCCCTTCCTGGTCCGGCAGTCCTAAGCAGCCGTATGCTCTTGCTGCAGCCTTGAGACCACGTACAAAGAGCTGGGTTCTATCTTGCTTCTTCTCCAGAATCAAGGGTCTCCTTGAACAAATCCCTTTTTTCCTCTGGGCCTTAGTCTCCCCATCTTATGATGACAATTGTGCAGATGTGTTAGGGTCATAAAACAAAGACCCAAGTATGAAAGAGGTTTCCAGACCTGCCTGCTATGCCAGAGGAACCCAGAGCAGGGTGGAGAAGCAAGCAAGTTTCCAAGAAGGGGACTGGTTACTGGCAGGGCACATGAGTGCCTCCGAAAACACAGACTTTGCCAGCTCAGGATGGCATCTCCACTGGCCCTGCCAACCAGGGTTCTCAGTATCCATTTTGTCTACAACCTGGAGACTTCTTAGACTACCTCCCCAACCCTGGCCCTCCCTAGTTGCCACTAAAAAGATTCTCTCTGCCCTGTAATGCTGTTCCTCCATCCAGTCAGAAACACCGGGAATTCTCTAAACCACTACTCATTCAACAGTTTTTAAGGAGCTTTCACATGTACTATTTCATACACCCAACACAACACACTTTGGACGTCTTTCTTCCCCAGCTTCTTAATGCTTTGAAGCCCAGTTCAACTGCCATCTCTTTCAAGAAGCTCTCCTAGATTCTCCTGAACTCCTTAGAGCTTTGCTTGCCCAGCCCTCCTGCTTCCCAGTCATCTGTGTACATGACTGTCTTCCTCCTCAAGAAGGTCTTTTCCACTTAAGGAACCACAGCTTCTGCTGAGTTCCTAGGGTTTCCCCAAACTCAAACACTGACCTGCTAGCTTTGCAGTTTGTACCATTCCCATTACTAACCTGACTATAAATTTACTTGACATTTTTCTTTAAACTGACCTTTTAAAAAATGCAAATTATCAAAGAAATGTTTATATATCTAATGCAATACAGATAGTGTTTTGAAAAGAGAAAAACAGTATGTTTTGCATTTCTGAAATCATCCTCCCTACCTCTGGCAACCATTAGCGTGTATGGTAGGTATGGTGTGGAGGACCCCCAAAACAGACAGAGAGGGAAGCTGCTCCTCTTGCTCCGGGCGGCTTGGGAAGGAGAAAGGAACAGCGGTAAGGAAAGCAGGGGGTGATACAAGGTGCTCTGAACCCCCCTCTCAGTTTTAGTCCCAAAGTGGGAGGTGTCCTGGACAGGGGATGCTGACGGCAGACTTGAATCTGCAGGAGGAGGCTGCCTTGGGGGTGCCCTGGGTCTCTGAACCAGCCTGTGACAGCTACCCCAGCAGGGAAGAGACTGGGCCAACGGGGATCTCAGGTTACACTCACACTCCCTCCATCCACTTTTCCTTGGAAGGGCCCCAGGCATGGCCCTGAAGGGAACCCAGAGGTAAGTGAGACT